CATAGACAACCGAGAATCGCTAGCAATAGTGACAGGAGAACCCAGCATGTCCTCCCAGAGTCTCTCTTCCAACTAATACCAACCAACGACTCCTCTAATCGAACCCCTTAGTTTCAAGTTTCTTTTTTAGTTTTGTGTTCGATACATTATTTGTTCGTTTACGCTCCTCGTCGTCAGTGAATCGAGAACGTGTTTCTTTTAGCCGTTTTCACCGGAGATCGTTTGTGGCTGCAACTCGCTTCCGGGTCCTCCACATGGCGAGAATCGACCCGACAGTCTTTGGGTTTCATTGATGAGAACCGCGATGAACCGAGCAGCTTTCATAGAGAGAGAATGAGCGGGAGAAAATGCACGAGAGAATGGAAAGAGAGGAACCATAGAGAAAATCTGGATCACCGCAACGGCGGTGTCGATGTTCCAATTGCTGCTGCACGCTTTCGTTTTTGTTTACACGTACGCGCCGAGCGGATAGAGCCGAACGTGTTCGATCGGATACTCGGACGCTTGGGGATAGGCCCGGTGTATAATTCGTATCGCGATCGAAGCCAAGTAGAAGTGTATAAATAAACGAACTTAAACGATATATTGTTCTTGGCAAATGGAAAATTAGGAACATCGACGTTGCCCCGGTGGTTTCTAGGTTTTCGGTGGAAAAATAATCGTTCCAACGACGAATCGAGATAGTCTGCTAGAGATATGTTCCATAGTCGTGTGCGTGAACTCGATGATGCATAGTTCCCGGTGCTTTTTGTGTGCGCTGTAGACAGTCTCGTATATATCGATCTTTGTCGTGGTATAGTTTGTTCTCGCCTGATTTCGCATAGATGATCGACGGCGAATGATCGCGCGAGAAGTTAGATTGACCGATGTTAGAACCAGAGGCCATTTAGATTAGTGTTCTTTTTCCTCTTCTTCGAACCGAGACACCCAGAGTCCCGTGCTACGCTCTCGATCGCGCGTGTGTACGTTTGGAAAATCCGTTGGATTGAAAAGGCCAGACGCGCGCCCCCGTAACTTTTGCCCCGCGGAATAGAGGGGAAACGCGGGAAAGTTTGTGAAACGACGAGGAAGAAAATGGGCCCGCGTACACACGGCCTCGAGAGCGCAAAAGGGAAGCGCACTTCGCCCGGAAAACTTCTCCGTTTGCTCGAATAGAGTAGACCAAGTTTCATTCTTGCTCGTGGAGCAGACCGCGCGCGAGAGAGGGGAATTCGCGGTGCGAGAAATCAAGTTTACGATCTCGCGAAATATCCTCGTCGTTGTCGCGTCGTAACCGTGGTTGTTGAACGGTTCCCGAGGATTTTTCCGCGGCGAAGGTCGAACATCGACGCGAGTAGATACGCGAGTGTAGAAACTTTAATAGCCCATCCATTGTGATAGTTCTCCAAAGATATCCAAAGTGAACGGAATATCCTTTCGCCCGTGAAAGCAAGACACACCAACTACAGACCACACCCCATCAACCTACTACTACCAGCCCCCTTTTCGATCACTCTGTCACTCGTTCGCTCTCATTCATTCCTTTGCATTCACCACCTGCATCCACCTTCACATGCACTGTACATCACATACGTGTCCACCTGGTTCCCATATGTTGAAAACATACACGCAACACGCAATACCCATGCAGAGCGAGACGTTTCGAGGGGATAAAAGAACGTCAGCCGAAAGGAAAGGGAAAAAGCACTGCAATACGTAGAGATGTAATTCAGTTGATAAATAGCTGGGACGCGGCCTAGGGATGCCCAGTTCACTTGACAATCGATCCTATTATCGATCATTTCGTTCGTCCTTTTCTTTCATGCTTTTCACGTGATGTGTGATCAGTTAGCGAAACGAAGATCGTGTTTTTGATTATTTTTGTTTCCTTTGTTCCGATCGAGGAACAGCATAAGCAAAGAGTCAAATGTGTAACATACACGAC